TGCCTGCAATGCATTCTTACTCATTGCTTGATAGTAACAGTAAAAACATCTTTTTCGTATGATGAGTGTTTTGGATGAAGAAGCCTGAAGCCTGTTTTACACATTAGTCACGAATGATTCATCTGCTGAGGAAGAGGAAGGCGTGTCTGAGGATGAGATGGCTGCCCTGGGTCAGCCCACAGTGTGGCTGCGTTCCCCCAGCCGGGGCGGCTACCTCAGGAAGGGCACAGGGCTGCCCTTCCAGCAGCTTCTGGCTCCTGGCCTTCCTGAGTCAAAGGTGGTTTTGTGGGAGCCACCAGTAGGCTTTTCTGCCATGACTTCTACTGATCCTTACTTGAGTCTAGGTACGCTTCCTTCATCTGTAGAGTCCTGGAAGAAATAAAAATAAAAATAAAAGTAAAAAAATAATTTAAAAAAAGCAGCTTTAGCTTTTAACATATTGCAGAAATAAGTTACTTTTATATAGTGTTTTTCTGAACTTGACTCGATTTGTGTAGGGTGTGACTGTGAACAAACACTTCCCATTCATTCTTCTGTTCCTCTCAAGATTTTATAGATCTCTGCTGACTGTTTTCCTGACTGAGGAATGCTGGCATGTTCAGAAGCTTCCCATATGGAAGGCATTTCATGGTTTTAGTCACCCTCACTGCTCTTGTTTTACCTTTTCCAAAATAGAAGCATAGCAAAACAACCCACCACAACAAAGCTGGACACCTCTTCCTGAATTTGTCATGGTACAGTTTATTCAACATGTGCAGGTTTTAATGTTATGCTTATTGCATAACCCTGGAGCAACATGGTCCAACCATGATCTGTGGAGGACAGTAAAATACAGTTTGAAGTCATTTTTCTTTATTAAAGTGGGTGACTGATTTTCTCTGAGACCCCTTTTAGCATGTAGCCATATTCAGCTTTGTGTTTGTATGACAGAAATGCTTCAGCTTTTCTTTTGTTAAATTAAGCAATTCCCAGTTAAAAATAGAATTTCATTGTATTTTGTTTGGATTGTGGTGTGTTTAAAAAGGAGCAATTAAAAGATAAAAACATCCTGACTAGTGTTTGCTAATTGTTTGTTGTTACTTAGTTAATATACTTGTAAGGTTTGTCACTGTAGCCTGTGGAGGTGGTCAGTCCTCTGCATACCCACTAACAGAACATTGTGAATCTAGAAATAGTGTCTCATCGTCTTATCATCAAGTATTTATGCTTGGATGATGATGAATAACCTAGTAGTGGTAGACCACAGAGTATCAAGTGATTACTGCAGAAAAAAGAAAAATAGATTTAGTATATGTGAGCGCGTGTTACATAATGCATGTCATTACATCCAGCATTTTAGGAAATTAAGAAGAGTTACAACTCAAAATAATGCGGCTGTTGAATAGCTTATGGTATGGTAGGTTTTTTTTTTTGGCAATTACATTTCTGAAAAGGGAGTGGAGGTTAGCATGCCTATTTGTTATTCACAACTTTCCTAATGTCTGAACTGTTCATGTCAAAGATGTGTAAAAGACCACTTCAGTGAAAAACAAATTCAAATTTTAAGAAGTTCTATACTATAAAAGGAAATCTAGGCTGAACAAAGTATATATTCGTGTCATGCTTCACAAAGGAAGATGCTGTTGCAACATAGACAGTATTTTATCTTTCCAAATCAAGGACTAAGAAATAGCAAAACTGGAGATCTCTTGCAGATTGATGCCTCAACTCAATATTGTGAATTGTGTCAAGGCAGAAGAGCAAGCGTCAGTAATGCTAGGATGAGCCACTGAATTTTTAGGCAGAATTTAAGCAGCCAAAGCAGTGCCGAAGACTTGATCTTCACCTATACCTCAGATATGTAACAGTGAGCATAAACAAACAACAATGTCCCTTGCTAAGAATCCTAAACAAAAGCAAGCAGATGGCAAAAGAAGCCAGTGATGCAGAATTAGCAGTCAGGCTGGTGTCTCAGAGCAGCATTTCTTTCCATCACCCTTCTTCACGCAGTAGCATTTAATTGCTTTAAAAGGTACAAGCAAAGCTAAAAGAATAAAGATCTTTCTCAGTTTAAATCAGTGTTTTGTTACTTGCAGATAAAACCATAAATCACCTCACAAGGAAATCAAGTTATGTCCTTCCTTCCTGATGTGCGCAAAGGAAAATAGGAAAATGCTCCTGAATTCTAGGATACTGAGTGCAGCATAGATTGTAGACAGGAAAAAATAACCCTTTTCAAACCCAAATCAGGTAGAGTAGCATGAGAAAGATGGAGAAGCAGCCCTGTTTTGCTAATTGGTTTCCTTAGAAATAAATTCCCTCCTCTTGTCTCTTGGAGGGAAATTCTTGGTATTCCTTGACAGTTGCTTCAACATGAGTGACAAAATGTGTAATGCTTCCAATTCCTTTCAAAGCGTTGCTTTTATTCTATAAATAAATAGCTCTAGTAGTTGTTTGCTTAAAGAACAAAATCAGTGTACTTTCAGTTGATTTTTTTTTAATTATTACCTGCACCACACTGCCTCAGTCTACCCTTCAGTTACTGATTTTGCTGCATTTGTGTCATTTTATGTGACCAAATGAATAAAACTAAAACTTAATCCGAATGATGTAAAATGATGGTACCATCCAAAACTGTGCATATTAGCATTGGACAATGTTTTAGATATATTAATATAAGTGCAGGCTATTTTACTGTGTTTTATTTAACTTCTTTTTTATTTATAATGTTTCAGTACTTTATATGATATGTGATCAGGGTATCCAAAATGGTATTGTTCCCATTAAATGGGGTTTCAAGGTTTGTAATGCAGAGCCTTTCACAGAGATTTGTTTATAAGAAGATGAGAGCTTTCTGCCAACATGGACGATTGGTTTGCTGACCCCTTGAGATCAGGCTGGTGGAAATGCACTATCTAAGGTGTAGGGAGATGAATGGTGGTCTGAGGATGTGCTGTACCTCCTTTTCTCTACGTCCGTTTGTTCTTCTCATGTTGTACAATGTGAGACACCTGTTAGGAACAGAATAGGAATGATAAAGTCAAAAAAAGGTAGAATTTATGGAAGCAGGAGCACATGGAAATATGTTTGTTCTTTATCTTATGAATGGCTCCCTTCTCTTGCTTCCATTCTGTCCTAAACTTTACACAGTTAATGATTAAACATATTTGTGTACCTCGAGTAGGTTTCTCTCCATAACGTATTGTCTTGTATAACCTTTGTATTTCATTAATAAATTAGTTCCAAGTGCTCTTTTTTAAATCTGGCCATTTACTGAAATAATGGAAGAATGTTATTTTTTGAAAGAAATATCAGGCAGATAAATTTGGTATGAATGCAACTTCCAGTAATGTCCTTTAAAGCAAAAGCACAATAGCAGCTGCTGAGCAGGCGGTGCATGTTGCCAGTGGAATTTATTTCTGACCAACTGTGTACTTTTCTACTCCAAATGCTCTTTCTTGAACAAATGTGGTGTGTAAAAAGAAAAAAAAAAAGTGGTGGTGGGCAATGATGAGAAAAATGAATAGAGGAGTATGGATAGATGTAAACACATTTTTTATTTGTGACCAAGGAAGTACTTGATTCGAAGTTTTAGGAGATCAAAAATTAACAAACTGCAAGGCTTTTTTCCAGTTGTGGTTATTGGAATGATAAAGTACTGTAAATTTGGTTGGTTTTTTTTTTGAGATAACTTAGATCTGAAGGATAAATTTATATGCAAATTGTAGCAGCTCATGGTGGCACATATACTTCAAGATGTTTTGCAAGTATATAATTTTGCAATTATGTATTTTTATTCTGCATGAAGTATGAGTATCAAAAATAACACAGGATCAGTACCTGAGATGTTGAAGAAGGTTTTCTTGATTATTTGACAAACAAGTATGCTGCAACTCTGGATTCCATTTTTAAGTGTACCAAATATACCAGACCAGGCTGCCCAGAGCCACATCCAGCCTGGCCTTGAATGCCTCCGGGGATGGGGCATCCACAGCCTCCTTGGGCAACCTGTTCCAGTGTGTCACCACCCTCTGAGTGAAAAACTTCCTCCTAATATCTCATCTAAATCTCCTCTGCCGTTCCCCCTCCTGTTTATATGCTCCCTTCAAGTACTGGAAGGCCGCAATGAGGTTTCCCCGAGCATTCTCTATATACTTAATAGGATATAAAATGCTTCAAGTAACAACTTTCATTTTCCTATTTTTTTAGAACTGTAGATGAAAGACAGCTAGAAAACTACTTCTTGGTTGGTGTCAGTCTGGTCCTTTAGTTTTGTTTTCTCTTTTTTTTTTTTTTTCCATTTAGCATATGCACAAGAGTGCTGTATGTGCTCTTGAACTAAATTGGAAGATTAATTTTTCTCTTTCTTACTAATAGCAGTTTTTAGCATGTTATGTACTGACACAGCTTTTTGTAGTCCCAACAGCAGCTACAGATAAGGAAAAGTGTGTTAAGTTGCCTGTTTATTTTGGCATCATTAAAAAATGGTTTCTTAATGGGTATTAATGATATTTTTTCTCATTCAGCTAGCAGGAAAGAGATTTTGAATAACTTGATCTTCTCGGTATCTTTTAAAAAATATTTCTTCTCAGTCATGCTAAGAACATGGGTCTCAGATCTCAGTTGCTCATCAGGAATTCAAAATTCTGGTCCCTATCAGGAACAAGCTGCCCAGGCAGGTGGTGGAGTCACCAGAAAAGGGTGAATGTGACACTGAGGGACATGGTTTAGTGAACATGGTGGTGATGGGTTGTGGTTGGACCAGGGGATCTTAGTGGTCTTATCCAACCTTTATGATTCTTGTACTTTCTGTTTCTTTTGCAAGCTATTCTAGTGAATAAGTCCAAATTCACTGGAAACTTGCTTTTGTTGCAATTAGGTGCCCTCCTGGGACATCACAAGATGATGGTAAAGATACCAGCGAGGACTTGGGATTTCCCAAGGTGTTTTCCCTCTCCTCTGGACAGCCAGGCTGCCTGCTGACCAGACCCTTCACTAAGCATCTTCTCTTTCACCTCCAGGCCAGAGCCTCAGCAGAAAGCTCCCTCAGCACCTCCACCCCCGCCGCCACCCCCACCTCCACCCCTGCCGGAGCCAACCCCGCCAGAGCCAGAGGAGGAGATCCTCGGGTCTGACGATGAGGAGCAGGAGGATCCCGCGGATTATTGTAAAGGTGGGTGCAGTCCTGTGCTGTCAGCTGCGGTAATGGGCATCATGCAGTACTCGCTGTGCCCCTGAGCACCCTGCAGGAGTCACACCTCCACGTTGGGCTGCAGATACTTCTCTTTTCAAATATCAACTCTTCAGAGTCAGAACAAGGGAAGGAAAAGTTAATTTATAAAACTTTGCAACAAAGTTTGGAAGAAGACTCCAAGATGTGAGATGTGACAATTGGGAGTTAATATCATGTAGCACTGTCACTTTCAAAAAGTAGATTTGTACGAATCACACACTGGAACAGGTTGCCCAAGGAGGTTGTGGATGCCCCATCCCTGAGGCATTCAAGGCCAGGCTGGATGTGGCTCTGGGCAGCCTGGTCTGGTGGTTGGTGACTCTGCACATAGCAGGGGGGTTGAAACGAGATGATCATTCTGGTCCTTTTCAATCCGGGCTATTCTATGATTCTGTGCACATTTTCAACCAGGTTCTGGGGAGGTTTTTAAGGACCTGGTCATTGTTTATGGATCTGACATAGAAGTTGTGAAGAACTATTTGCATAACTGTCTTCAACTGAATTTTTTCACTTAGCCATTGCTTATGCATGCATTTTGTAATTAAAAGATACATAATGAAAAGATACACTATATGTCTGTTGTAGTTATAAGAATAAACTTTCCTTGATTGATATTGATTGTAAGAGAAACAAATATCCTAACTAAAACAAGCATCCCCTCTATATATTCTAAAATACCTCAATGCATTTGACATCAACTAAATATGTATTTGAATCTATATCTTCTCTTTCTCATACCTGCACAAACGTTTGATACATGCTTTTTTTTTGTACATTGTCTTTCACAGACCTTGGCATTGCGATGTTCTCTGCATTTTTTTTTAGTTTCTGATTTCTTTAGCTTTTGTAGGTACCTACGTCATTATTAGTACAGATTTTACCATAAGACTAACAGGTGAATGCAGATAGTTTTTTGCATAAAAACTGCAGTACAACAGTCAATGTTTTAATTTGGTTCAGTGTTACACATAATGCTCCAGGTCTGTTCCCATTAGGATAAAATATACAATGTATTCAAGAATCATCATAGATAACAGATCTGTCAAAATTTACTTACTGCCTTGAATTAATTTTTTAGTACAGCCAAAAGACACTGACGTACATTGACTTAATCTGTTATTCCACGTTCGTCAAATCAAGAAATAGTTTCTATCAAATATGATGCTGTCTTAACTCTGAAGGTTCTCTGTAAGCCTGCAGATGTGCCATTTTAGGAATCCTTTCTCCCAGCTTGGAATAAGCTGTTCTGTATTTCCATATCTAATAATTGGAAGTGACATTTTCTTCTCAGTGTAGGAACTAATAGTAATATGTGATATTTCAAGCGTTGAAATGGGTTACAAATTCCAATAGTGAAAACCAAATGGTAAACTCAAATTGAATTTTGAAGTCTGCAGCAAAGGAAAGAAAAACTCATAGAGAATACATGTTTGTATTAAATGCAAATGTTACAACATGCTTATTCCTTATGATAACTCTTGGTATCTGTAACATCTTTCATTAGTGAGGAAGGATGGATTTGATGTTTAAACATCTGTTTATTTGTAAACATCTGTATCTACTTGAGATTAAGCATTTCTAGGCCCTGCTTAATTCTTCCCTGAAGTAAGGACTGCATCAAACAATGCATTGTTGTCTATGTTCCATTATCTTTTGCAAAATATCACCATCTGGAGTGGTTAGATCACAAAAAAAAAGAAACAAAATCTACATGTATAGTTTACTTGTAAGTCACCTGTTCTAGAATCTCTGTAACTCCAGTTGGTTGTCGGTACGGTGCATGTTATGTTAAGAATACTTGCAGGTTTCTTCAGAAATTAAAGGGAGCTTCCATACACAGGAAGTTCATTCTGTGTTCCTATAATATTAAGTTCTGAACCGATGAAAGTACATTCAAGATGGGTCAAGCTCTGGCTCACTCTGATGTCGTAATCATTTGTTTCTGCGAGATCAGCATTTTTGCTGCTCCAGTGCATGTTTTCCCTAACTGTAATTTCCAGTAAGATTGATCAGAATGCTTCCTTTTTTAAATGTTGCTAAGGTTGACCTGTAGGGGAGGCCACCATGTAGTGTAAGAATCTGAATGGAATAGCTGGATTAGGAAGATCTGGAACCATATAGACTTTGTTTAATTTATCTGAGGACCAAATAAGTTATTCAGTAAAGAATTGCAGGGGTGGCTTTTAGAAGTATTATTTCCAAATTTCTTTGAAAGATGTTTTATTCATCTGAGTATGTTTTACTGTCCTTGGTAATGTTTATGAAGTAAGAGATAAGTATTTGGAAACCATCATAGTTTACTGAAGTCTCTCTTTTCTTTCTAATTTATCTCCAAAGCAGTAGTCTCCCAGGATTTTCGAATGAGACGCAGAGCATACTTCATCTATTCTCAACCCCAGTCTGAAATTTCATAGGAGGGCAATTTTGTTGAGGGTTTATGTTAAATATATAATACATATTTATAATATATAAATATACACACATATATAGTGTGTACCTACATAAAATGAACATTTTACCTGTTAACAAAAATACTCAAGCAGTGATTGCTATAGTTACTGATTCTTAAATATATACATAAGTATATGTATATATGTATATATATATTTTTTAAAGAATATTTTACTATGAGCTGAGCTCCTATCTTCACCACATTGCATGCCGAATAGTAAATAGTCCCAGTCATAATAGTGTTTTTTATCAGGAAATTGGATTAATTTGAGTTATCACCGGATGTGAAAGAGAGAACTAACAGCCATTTGTGTAAAGCAGACTAACTTTTGTTCCCCTGGACCTTCCTCCAGAGCCTGTTAAAATCTGTGAAATGGCTGCTATTGATGCCACTGAATTTAGATTAAATGCTTTTCAAATGTTTATTTGTTTTGAGAAATGGAAATATCAAAACTCCAACTACGTGATTTTTCAAGGGGTACTTAGACAGTGCAGCTCTGAAACACTTGGAGATTTTTTTGAAGAGTTTGTTATGTCATGGATGTAATTGGAATTCTTTGCTTCTCTGATCATCTTCCTTGCCCCCTGGAGATGTCTCCCATTCATCCAGTTCACAAAGGGAATAATTCCCTATACAAACATAGAACTAGCTAGCTACAATTACCAATACATTCAGGAGACATTTAGGAATAATGATCTCATTTTTTCTGACCCTCTTTCTTGAGTGCTTGTAGCTAGCTAGCTGTGTGAGAGACTTTTTTTTGTGTGCTGTAGTGAATAGCACAACAGATTTTTTGTTACATTATCAGTAGTACCACTTACACATTGTATATTTTCAAATGCCAGTCTTGTTTTTACAAAAATGCCTCATTTCTCTCAAACTTCTAATAATGCTGTCTGGATGTTAGTATTTGGAAATAACTTCCATATCACAAAGAAGTTAAGTAATTGCATTTGTCATACGATTACACTGGTTTTTAAAATGCACTTAACTGTGTTGTTACCTGATTGTTCACAACCTCTGCACAAATAATACATAGCTGACAGCATCAGGAGCAGTCAAGGAATAACACGTACAGGAACAGTAAGGAATATTTCCAGAACTGCTCCTGTTGTGGTGTAGGACAGTAGAAAATATCTTAAAAATTTCATATATACTCAATGAATAAATATATATTGTTGTATTGTTATGATTAGTTATGTGTCCTGTAGTGGCCAAAATAGCCTGGCTTTAACATGCATAGTTATTATTTAATCATATTATAGCCATTATTCTTGCAATACATAGATTTTACTAAAATCATTCATCAACTCCTGGTTTATTGACTTGAAGTCAGTGTCTTTGATTTCTTCTGGAGTGTGTTCTCTCTTGTCTGTGCTGGGAAGAAACTGCCACAAGTTCTCAGTTTTGACCCTTTGAAGCACAGCTATGCCAAAGGATATCTTCAGAGAAGCAGACTTTAACAGCACTCTTTAAACAAAACTGTTCGTAAAACCATATATTTAACTCTGTCTAAATTCTTCATTGTTGAGTGTTAACGCTGTTACTTAGTCAAAATGTAAACAGTTAAAAAATTACTTCTAGCCTTTGTTTTATGTGCTTAAAGGCCTGCTTAGGGCTGCATAAGTGATGTTGTGTTCCCATGGTCATCCGAAATTCGGGAAGAAAAAAAAACCTCTCCTAACTCCAGTGTGTTGTTGGAAATCTGACATTCCTTTATTCCTCACAGTATGTACCAGATTTGATAAATCAAGTGCACGCTCCTGGAGTTCAGGTTCTACGTTTAAATAGTTAAAACATATTGGCATACATATTCACTCTTGTCCAGGAACTCCTTAATATATGCTAACGTTCAGTGGTCATACAACCACCTGCTTCCTCCCCTTTACTTCTCCTTCAGCTTCATCACAGTGACTTTTGGCCGACCTTAAAATGTTTTTCCCCATTTGGCAAATTTTCCATTGCTTGATATGCCATAATAAGCAATTTTGTATCTTGGTGCACTATAATTCCAAACAATTTACGTGAAAGTCAAGAAAAAGCCCTTGCACCTGGTGGATGCAAAGCTGAAAGTACTCTGTTGCAAGTTCAGTGCTTCTGTGAAGCTGGATCATTGGGAAAAAAAGGGCTGTTCACATACCACACAAAGCTAAACTAGGAAGTTGTAGAACTAGCACTCATTGATGCCTTTTACCAAACTAATATATTGGCCCTTAAATGAATTTATTGACTTCTATTGCTAAACCAACCTGTGTCACCATATTCTCCTGAGTTCATATAATTATGTTCAGAAATGATTGAATAGGACCATACATTTAAGCAGATTGTAAAACACTTCAGAAATTTTTGTATTGTTTAATTTAAAATCTGTGTTGCAAACCATAGAGAGGTGTTAAAACTTGGTGTTGTGTACTTTCATGCAGAGGATAAAGCTTCATGCTTTGTCTCTGTTTTCTTGCAGTGATATATGCAGGACAAAAATTAGAAGAAATGATGCTGTGATACTGAATTGTGTGTGAAAGCTTTTTACATAATCCTTGCTGTCAGATCAGCAGACTTGATGTGTTTCAGTAATGTAAACCTTTTCAGTAATAGAAAGGTAGAATAATGTACTTGCTCTCTTGACTTTCCTCTCACATCTATTACTTGATCATCCTTTATGAAAAGAATTTATCAAATAATACTATTTTTTTTTTTGTTCGTATTAAACCAGTTGGTAACTGTCTTGATATAATTTTATTCATCCGGATTTTGAAATATTTTTATCCTCAGCTGTTTCAGCGGGGATGGCCAAGCAGAAATCTAAATTATTAATTTTGTATTGTTTTTAATGTTATTTCATATCAGCAATATATTACCCGAGCTTTAGAATCCTGTGAAATATGTAATCTTTATAATTCTATCGTGTAATTGTATTCAATTTATTAGTCTGCTCTGGAAGACTTTGTGGCAAGCTCACCAATAAACTCCTGAACTTCTGTCAAGGCAAAAGATGCTACTAGCAAAGAAGGGATATAAATATTTTTAGATTTGATGCCGCTGTTCCACGGCATAAGATAAGAAAAAGATAAGAGCCCAGTCCCTGTACTAAATCCAAGGAATTAAGTAATAAATTGACATCGTTGTTTGAGCTGGGCTTTGGTTCTGACAAGGTTTTTGGGAGATCTCAAAACAAATACAACAACTTAGGGGAAGTAGTCTTTTCCTAATTTGAAGTGGAATAATCAGTAGTAAAGGGTTCTGCCAAAGGCCAGTTGAGTGTGACATTCTGAAAGACCAGAAGGAGCCAAAGAGATAATTCCTTGATGCTTGGCAGATGGGCAACTGTTGGAGAGTTGTAGCTGTATTATTTTTAGCAATTTAGTCAAAATTGTGAACGTTTTTTAGTTTGTTAGGTCCAAATAATAATCTTGTCTGATCAGCTGTCTTTCCCATGCTTAAGAATGCCTCTTAAAATAGGAAGGATATGAAAAACCTTCACAATGGAGCTGTGGACATCACCTCTACCTCTTACAGCCACTTCACACCGTGTTGAAACCTGAGTTCCAGTTGTGGGGTTGGCCTTTCTGACAGTGGGGCTCGGGGCGTCAGTTGGGACTTCGGCGATGTGGTTGACCAGATGGCCTGTAGATGGGATAAAATGCACTTTTGGGCAAAGCCTGCAGCTGCCTACTCTCTCTGCTTCATCACTATCAAAGCCTCAGACTTGAGAAAATGCACTGCTGCTGTGGTTCAGGATCCAAGCAGAAGAGCATCACTGAATTTGACATTGTTCTTAATATTTTCTGGTGAAGTATTTTATTGCCGCCTTTTTTAGTAGAAAGCAAATGGGAATTAAAACAGTCTCTGTTGAGTTTTTGCAATCATCCAAGAACACGTTGGCTGGAGAAAATTCGAATATGATAAAGAAATAATGTAGATCTTTCCTGTACTCTCTGTGAAGTAGAAGATAAGCCTGGGGAAATACAGAACAGATGGTAATGTTTCCACAAATGAAAGCCATAAAAGAGAAGGGCCAATAAACTCTATAGTATGTACAGGGCACGAGTATTTTCCCTCCAGGCCAAGTAAGGCAGAGTTTTTAACATTAGAGTTAATGTTTCTTTTTAGATTTCCTATATATAGTACAGGACAATTTGAAAAAGGAAAAGTTATACTACAAGGAAAAATTATTCTGCAAGATTTAAATGAAAAACTGAGAGGTATTGTTTGTTTCCTGACTAATCTTCTTCTATTTTTTTTCTCATGAAAGGTGGCTATCATCCAGTGAAAATTGGCGATCTCTTCAATGGCAGGTATCATGTTATTAGAAAGCTAGGATGGGGACACTTCTCTACAGTCTGGCTATGCTGGGATATGCAGTAAGTGAACTACTTATTTCCATGCGCTTGATTTTGTTTGCAGTAACCCTTTTTTTTTTTTTTTTTTTTGGCACATGATAAAGCTATGTAGATGTATGCAGTCGTTTTCTGCAGGAAGGTGTCTGCATTAAAATTTTGCCCTTGGTTAAGGCTATAATTTATAAAACTTCTCAGAAATGTGTAATTATTTTATTTGACAGATTAGTTTTGCTTATTGAATTTACATGTTGTCTTGAACACGTGAGAGTGAGATATTTTTATTTCTGTTGCATCTTTAATGAAAAAATGTAATTACTGTGATACCTCTTAAATACATTAGCTTCAAGGAGATAAAATATTTAATAAGCCAGACAATTAACAAAATGTTGTTAGAAGTTGCTTTTCTGTGTAGTTTCAGTGTTTTAGTATTCTATCAGAATACATTAGGTAATGAAACATTGTATTTAAAATTTCCAAATGTCTCTTTTAGTTTAGAGCACTTGCTGAAAATGTTTTTGGTTTTGTTTTTTTTCTAGGGGAAAAAGATTTGTTGCAATGAAAGTTGTAAAAAGTGCCCAGCACTACACAGAGACAGCCTTGGATGAAATAAAGTTACTCAAATGTGTATGTATCACTCATGTAGTATGGTGTTCAATACCAGCCATAACAGTAATAACAAATAAAATTAAAAAACGTAGTGCGATATATTGTTTAAACTTTTTTTTCCTAAGTAGCTTATTTGTTATGTTACTGTGAGTTCTAAAGCTCCAAAATATTAACTTTGGGCACAGAGCAAATTACTTAATGTTTTCATGTCAGTTGTTCCCTGAAATGTCTGTCTTGGTTTAGGTTCGTGAAAGCGACCCTAATGATCCCAACAAAGATATGGTTGTACAACTAATCGATGACTTCAAAATTTCTGGAATGAATGGAATACGTATCCTTTTGAAAACATTGCATCTTTGTTAGTAGTGATCTGTGGAGATAAGTAAGCTCTTCGATCTGGCTATTTTTAGGTAGTCTTAATTTATAACAGTAGTGCAGAAACATCAACATAAGTGTAGATGGAAGGAATGGTCCAAGATGTAATACACTCACTGGAGTGAAATCGCTTAGATTTTTTAAATACAGTGCAAAATAAAAATTAATAAAAGACATTAATCCTGTCACAGTCTATTAGAACTACAAAGGATAAGATTGTTTAGAAACAGCAGTTTAACTGAAAAGATAATAATAGGTGAGGCTTACAGTATGCATGTTCTGCTCTAGACTAGTACGGAGAAAGAAAGTGTTAGTGTCATGAAGTAGCTTATTTCTGTTTTCTTCTGTGAAGTGTGAGGGTGTGGAAGAAGTTTTCTCATTATGTTTTTTTCTTTTGCCACATGACCTTGTTTTTATTTTTGCCAAGATTTTAAAGATTTTTATTCTAATACTCTGAGATAGGGAGTGGGGGATGGAGAAAGAGGTGCAATATGTGACAGAGCATTGTTCTCAGGGAAAAGTTGGGGCCTACGAATATCTTTATACTTGAACTAAAGTGAATTATCCTTGCTAGTTGTATTAGGTATTTTAGTAGCTTATTATGTTACTATTCTTTCATTTACACATACAACTGGTATTTATCTGTGTGCTTGTTGTGTTTTGGAGACCTAATAATCATTGTTCATACTACTCAACCAAGAGAGTTCCTGCTCTCTTGAGCTCAAGATTTTGGTGATGTGCCATCAGTCTTCAGAAGATTAGGTTAAGATGCTCCTCACTGACTCTGGTCCTCCAGGAGAGGAATCTAGGAGATGACTGCCAGTGAATTTGAAAGCATCCTCCCAGGAAGAAATGTTTGGTTTTTGTTCCACCCATCTGTCTGTTGACATTGGTTATGAAGCCTTAGAGTTCGTAATAAGTGAGAAGGGAGAGTATGGGGACATGTATCTCATTTGCAGAGTAGGATCCTAACTGTTTTCTCTCATTTTATTTGGTGCTTGGTTACTTCATTGGTTAGCTACCATGCTAGAAGGCTCTTAAGTGTCACTGAAGCCAGTGCTTTTTTTGTAGGTTTTATAATCAAATTACCATTAATTAAAATAAACTATACAGTTGCTTGCAGTCATTTCAACTTGTTTATAAATGATTTATGGCCAAGGACCTTGTTAATACAATGGGGCAAAGAACCCTAATTGGGGTTTCTCAGTGTTGTGGGACTACAGAAAATATCTTTGAGCTGAAATGCTTCCTGAGAAGTACTGTATAAATATCTCCATTGTCTGTGTTCACTAAAAAAATAGTCACCAAAGCACTTCAGCTCTTAAGACAACTGTTCTGGTGAAAACTAAATGAAGTTATTTTTAGAAATCAGAGATTTTAACTTGCTGTTTTCATTGTAAAACAGTAATATGAAGTGGGGAATAAGAAAATGTATACCTATGTGTAGAAATAATTTTTATTGGTTTAATGGAGTCGTTTCTTGGTAACATTCTTAAATTATTGGTGAGATACACATGTGTTAAAGGCAAAAGCCATTTCTGAAGAAGATTATGAAGAGTAAATTTTGTTAATAATAGTATTTTGAAAGCATATCCAACTATAGCATTTATGTTGACAAAGCCAAAGGAAACTCTATTGGTGAAAAATAAGAACTCAGGTAACTTTGCATCAGCAGATTAAAATTGGACAGCTGATAGTGATTTATTCTATTTCAGTTTTACCTTCATGCTGAAAATTCAGGCAGTTCAGAAGTTGTTTTATATGGAAGGCAAATGTTTTAATTACTGGGAGAGAAAGGTATAATAGTCACTAGTGCAAATATGATAGCAAGTATCTTCTGAGTTGTCTCCTGAACAATTTGTGCATTCTGAGTAGTGTGACTTATTTGATCAAAATTTGGCTCTGTTGGTTATTTGATTAAGTCCTTTTGGTCTTGTAGGGGAAAGAAATCTTTGGTGCAGGTTCTTTTGGAAGGGAGCAGGTAACTACTTTTAACATCTTGCTGGTACTGGATTTCATTAAAAAAAAAAAAAAAAAAAGCTATTTTAGTGCTATGTTAGTGTTATTGGGATGAACAGGCTGAGAGACAGACAGTATTTCATGCTGCGTTGTTTCTGGTGTCCCTTGGGAAAATGACTAAATATCCATTCTTTGACTGTAAATTAAAACAATGTATGCATCATAGATGTTTGATGGTTACAGAATACCTTCAGAAGTCAAAGAAAGACAGGGGAGAGGTGGGTGAATCCTTTAGGTGGACAACACCACAAAATGTAATGGAGATTCCAAACAGGGAAGCTTGTAAAGAATGCTGTGGCACAGGGCTGTGAATATGCAGAGCCATTGGCCTGGGCTGTGTGTCTGGAAACAATCACCATTCTCCTAGGAGCTGTAAGACATGTTTATAAACATGTGGATTTTAACAGATGCTATGTTATGCTACACTAGACTGATAATTTTTGTTAGCTACTTGTACGCTTTAAAAATACTACAATTATATATGTTTTATTCAGGAAATTTCTGAATGTGGGCACTGTAATGTTTTCAGTGTGTAGATCATTAATTTTATTTATGCTGGATGTTTATTAGAACCTTAATAAATGATTGAGCATTTTTTTAATCAGAGGTTCTGATAATCACACAATGAAACAAGTGTTTGGATAGATAAGTGAGAAAGTAAAGAAGGAAATGATCATGTATACAATAATTCTGTGATTCTGTAATTGTAATAAATTTATCTTCAAAGAATAAACAGCACTAATTAAATGCCGTAGGGCCTTAATGCTGCTTACACAAAAGCATCTGAGATACATCCAGAAGTGCTCTGTGTTGGTACCAGAATTTTGTCATTTGTTTTAACTAGTCTGTAAGCCTCATCAGATTTTTAAATAATCCTGTATTTATTTGTAGATAAATAGATAGTTGCATGTAAGATTTTAGTCAAGAAATAACAGTTCTAAGTACTTAAAGCTGTCAGCTGATACATATTACATTTGTTCACTCTTGTTCTCTGCTAAGTTTCCCTCTTTCAAACATTCCCCAGACTTTGCTTCAAAGAACATTTCATAAGGGATGTGTGTACAGTGTGAGCTTTGGGTTTCTTTTTTCTGGAGGACTATTTGGACACACTCATATATCAGGCACTTGATGTCGTGGGATGATCCCAGAGCTCACAAGGCTGGATTCCTGCTTTCCTCACTGTTTGTGGACACACTGCCTCACAGTTAACATTCTTCAGGTCATGACAATGAATCAGACAACAGTCACATTTTAACATGTCTGTAGTAAATGTTGAGTCTACTGCATGTCTTTCTGCCATCCCACTTTCCTCTCCAGTACTGAGCATGCCTTGTGTTTATCAGACTGCTCATGGCAAAATGCTGCAATCTTTCTCAGGTAGATGTCACTCCTCCTGTAGCTCTCTCTCTCTTTGCTTGCCTCTGCCATTCCTCCTTGCATCTTCTTTCTCTATATCCTGTCCTTCCTTGCCTTTTCAATTCCTAGCATCCCTTTGTATTCTGCTTAATGACAAGGCGTAGCACTCTAGTACATGCATGGAATGGCAGGGATCTGCACTGGAGAGTCTGCTGTAGCAGTGGTCTGAAGGATGGTGAGCAGGTGTCCTAAATTTCATTTCTTAATGCTGCAGTGTCTTGCCTTCCTGGAATAAGTGTTGCTGTCTTCCTATAACTTCACAACATCATTGTGTGGACTAAATTGATAAGCCCTGTAGAGCTAACGTGCTGTGTTCTTCCTCTCTGATGACCGTGTGCTGTACTAGTGACTTTTTGTTTGTTGGGTGCTTGTATGGTAAAGTAAACAAGGCTGTTTCTTCTTCTGAATTGAACAGAGTTTTATAATATTTTGAGTAGACTGTTTGTGGCCTTTCCTAGTACAGGAGTTGAGGAGCATCAACTAAGTTGAGCAGGTAGCAGCTATCAAAATAGTACAATTATTCTCAAAGTGCTTTGACCAGTCTTGAGACATCATTCAGTCTAATTTCAGTTTAAGGATGTAGATTACAAAACTTCACATAGCTTTATTCATATGGGTAGCTGCGTGAAAAGAATGTAAATGGTAGATCCATAGACAAGGTATGCATCATTTTTACTCAAGACAGTGACACTAGGATCATCAAGATACTAGGTACTAAAACTTCAGTAAGTCAGGTAAGATTTCTCCCCTAACAGTGTGTTTCCCTGTGAATGTTCTCTGAGATAGAGAGGATCTGATTTCCATCCACTGAGATTTTCCTGAATAACCATCAATTCATTCATTTTTATTACATTATTCTGTGCAAAGTTATAGTATTGTGTAGTTCAGATTTTAACATTCTTTCCGGGTTCCAGCGATGTTAAGGTTATTCTCAGAGCATACGTACCTGAAGATCAAGTTGGTGTAGTATATAATTTCTTGCTATTTACTATTATGTGGAATATTAGAATATTTTCTCAATAGGAAAATAGTCTACTCAGATGTATGAAACAGAATTTCTAACTCAGGTGGTCTCTGAACCATAAATCACTGAAAGTGTCTACATCTTGTTCTCTTCCAATACACTTCACTGATTATCTGCTACTGGAAAGATCCTGAGTCAAATTAAATTTTCTGGCATTGTTGTTTTTGCATATTGCTTTTTCTTTTGTTCCTGAGTTCTTTGGTAATTGCCATTATTGTTTGCAGTTAAAACTGTATGAAGTGAAAGATCCATTCTCTTACTACTTCAGTCTTTATTTTCAAGTGTTTCTCAATTGAACCTAATCAGAAAGATGTTTAGAATAGTTCTTTTTCTAAAACACTACAGCTGTAGTCTGCTGTTGTTAAAAGCTTTTATTGTCTTTTAAAATTTATTAGAAATTAGAGATAATAGGACAAATCAGTACTTTGAACTATTTCAAAGAAAACAAAAATCGATTACTTATTTAGCAATTTAATTACTCACCCGAACACTGTTTTTACCTTTAGAAATAAAGGACAAGAATACATTTAAAATATATTTTAAACATTTAAAATGTTTTATTTTAAATTGGTCTATTTGGGCATGGCTCTTTTTTCCTGTTTATATATTATTGCAATGTAGTAACCGTGTTTCGATCAGTTAGGGGTGAACTGTGATTACGTGATGATGATTGCTTTAGCCAACAAGCAAACAAACATTTGTGGTTCATCTTATTAACGAGTTTGTTTGGAAATTGTCCTTAATTAAGTCCCAGATGTTTGTATGGTCTTTGAAGTACTTGGACACCATCTCTTAAAATGGATAATCAAGTCCAATTATCAAGGCCTTCCCATCCGTTGTGTAAAAAGTATAATTCGACAGGTAAGATTTGCTAATGTTTTAATTAGCTTTTTCCACCATTGTTAACATTTTGAAGGTTAGAATGGTGACATTTCAGCTTAATTGTTACTAATTATTATCTAAGATAAGATAATTTTACTGGTAACCTCAGGGAGCTGGGGGGTTTGTGGGACCTCTTCTTGGGTAGCCTGCATTTCTGCATATTGTATTATTTTTATCAAGATATCCCACTGATAAGGGAGTTTTCAGTACTGTTTTGGTGAATAAGATTTTTTGTATTCAATTGCAGTTTTGGTCAACAAAACATCAGCATGATATGCTTCTTAAAAAGCTTATCTGTCTCTGAAAAAAAAACCAACAAACAAACAACTGATTCTAAAGGAAAGAACTGTTATTTGAAAATTATTATTTACCTAATTTAAGTTCTTGTTGAGTCAGAGACCTAACCAGGTGAAAACAGGACAACTTATAGGGAAATGTTGTTTCAAAATATATTCTCTTGCTGTATTGTGGAAACCAAATTGCTGAGAGGTAAAGAGAAGTATTGTCTCAACATGGAAAAATCATGTACATCTCTGTGATTTTGTATACACTATTAATCCATGTGCAGTTAATACTTAGCTGATATGTAAATATTTTCAGATTGCCATTTAAGTAATTTGTATTGTCTTTCAGCAACATTACCTCTGTTGTATTAATAACCTGTCTATTGAAATAGTTATTTTCTTTGAAATCTTTATTGTATGTCGTCTGATGAATCTCAGCCTATCAGCTTTTTAGTCAGAATTAACTGAATGCTCTGATGCAGCAGTTAGTAAGTAGTTGAAATTGTAGGTCTACTGATTTCTATACAGCCAGGTGGCTCACATACCCAAAATAAGAAGCTGTACTGATGCAGTGCTCCAGCTGAACAGAGCTGTCTGCTGTGGAACGGGAATGTGTCTGTTTGTATTAGTATGTGTCTATAAATATCCACGGTTTCCCGTAAGCATTGTCATTTTTTTGTTTGGAATGCTTTCACTATGGTTGCACCATTATCCTGGAGGTTGGCCAAAGTATGGAAGTTTACAGTGTGCTTTCTTTATACACTGCCTTTAGCAACAAACCAGTTTTTGGAGCTCCCTGCTATGATTTACGTACATTACAATGGCTGTATGCAGAAACAGAGCGTAAACCAGACCTCTGAATGGATCCAAGCTAAAAACAATCTCTTTTTGGAAGGAAGCTGGGAACTTCTGAACACAGCTTCACATGGCTTTGCCTGTAACCTTGCAAAGGAGAACTTTGAAGTGAGGGCTTCAAGGATGGTAACCAAAACCCAGTGAGGAGTGGGGTTAGCAAGGAGCTGCCTTAGGAATGGAATTATACAGGAAGCACGATGGAGAGGTTTTGAAGAACATGTTCTCCTTCCAGATGCAATTAGAAAACCAGTGCCATGCGTGTTATAAAACTTGAATATGAAACAGTTCAGTTACTGCAGTGGCGCTCAGCAAAATAAACCGTTTTGTTTCAAAAAGTATTGTAGCTGAATGCTATAATGAAAAAGAATTTTTTTATATTACAGTTGGGAATTTTTTCCCCCACTTCTTTAGTATTTTTGAGTATTGGGGCGAGATTAAGGGTTAGTTTAAAATGCAGCTGAGAGCTGAGTTTCTTAATATGAATCTCATACTCATTTCAATTTTAAGCAGTACTTCTTCCCTTGGGGCAGAGTTATATGGAATGTCATGCAAGAGATGCCTCTGTAGAATTGAAAAAAGGGCTGGTTGCCACAGTTTCTTTTGTGTAATGAAGGTAGAAGTTAGAAATGTGCATTTACTTAATTCTAGAATCCTTATTTTGAGTTCTAAAATATATAGCATCAGTCTACTTTAAAGGAATCATGTTCTGAAACTGTATTTATTAAAACCAGCATTGTGTATTGGAGCAATGAAAATTTTCACTTTTGCTTTTCACCTGTGGTACAGCAAGTAGTCTGTTTAATGTGTCAGTATGATGTTGCTCCCTGACTGCAAAAGAAAGAAAAGAAAAGGGATTCTTAATTAGATACTGCAAACGATGGTGGTATTTCTTGATGTGAAACCAACCATGTGACTTTTACAAGGGAGAAAATACAGTTTTGTAATTTGCATTTGCAATAACAGGTCCTGTTCTAATTTTTCAGAGCTATAATACATTGTGCATGTAATTTTTTTTTTTTCAGTGGAGAAATAAATAAAAAGGAGAATTGTTTTCCCCATTGTCCATCATCTCAGACTATGATGCAAAAAAAGTACATGCAGCATGCGTTTTAATACTGGTATTGTGGTATAGTATACTTGCAGTTTTTAGGATAAAGCAATCTGATCTACATTTTAGGATTGCTAAGAGCATCATTTCTCATTATAAAATCCTGGCGGTCCTTGTGGTAAGTCAGAGAATCATGGAATCACGGAAGGGCCTGTTTTGAAAAGGACTTCAAAGATCACCTAGCTTAAATCCCCCTGCCATGGGCAGGGTCACCAACCTCTAGACCAGGCTGCGCAGAGCTCAGTCATGGGACTGTTGGTGATTTTAGATAAAATAAGCTATTTTCTGTTTTTCTGAAAAATAATACTCAGCCAAAATGAAAGATAAAACTGTCCCTCTAAAACTGTTACTTGAACAGGGAAAAGGCCATCTTCCTAAAGTGGGTAACAATAAATCTAGTTTCTTAATAATGCCATTTCTGCATGTCACAGTGGAGCAGGTACTTTTTCTTCTGAATGTTTTTGCCTTTCTGTGTGCTCCAGAATTTTTTTATCTTGGCCTCAGTTTACACGTTTGATTGTTATTGTCATCTATAGTGATGGAAGGAAGAGGTTATTGAGATCAATACCAATGTCATTTACTTGGACTTGAGCAAGGCCTTCAATACGGTCCCCCACCACATCCTTATCTCCATATTGGAGGAATGTGGATTTGACGGGTGGACCACTCAATGGATAAGAAACAGTTTGAAAGGCCACAGACAGAGGGTGGTCATCAATGGCTCTATGTTCAGGTGGAGGCCGGTAACGAGTGTCGTCCCCCAGGCCTCTGTCTTGGGACCGGTGCTCTTTAACATCTTTATCAGTGACATCGATGATGGAATTGAGTGCACCCTCAGCAAGTTTACTGATGACACCAAGCTGAGTGGTGCAATCGACACGGTAGAAGGAAGGGATGCCATTCAGAGGGACCTCGAGAGGCTAGAAAGGTGGGCCCGGGTGAAC